TCTGGGCTCTCACATACCTTCCCCCTTAACTCACTGTTAGGCGTACTTATGCCCTGGGGTTTTGGTATGACCAGATCCACGTCCGTCACCCCATAATCCATTCTATCTTCCTCCTCATGGCATCTTGAAAGGAAATGAGCCACAGTGTTAGTTTTTCTGGGCTGGTACACGATCTTAAAACTAAAAGGCTGTAAGGCTAGAGCCCACTGGGTAATGCGGGCGTTGTCAGTTTGCTTGATTTTCAGCCACCTTATGGGTGCATGATCGGTGACAAGGGTGAACTCCCGCCCCAGTAGGTAGTACTGGAAGTACTGAATGCCCCATTTTATGGTGAGGCACTCACGTTCAATGGTGGTGTACCTTCTTTCTTGGGGATTTAATTTCTGGCTAGCATAGGCTATGGGACAGGAGGCTCCTTCGATCTCCTGTGACAGCATGGCACCCAGTGCACTCTCCAAAGAATCTGTCTGTAAGGTAAAAGGTAGCTCAGAGTTTGGGGTATCTAGCACTACCTCATGGGAGAGAGCCTTTTCGGTACATTCGAAGACAAGTGTGCTCTCAGCATTCCAGATGAGTGACCCCCCTCCCCCTCCCCCTCCCCCAGAGGGTGAGTCCCTGCTCCTCTTCCCTGGGGTAAGCACCTGTCTTTCATCCAGACTCCCTGACCAGAGGTGGAAGAAAGAGAAAAAAACCCATGAAGAACCAAAAGGAATGCTGTAGCAGGTAGATTCAGGTAGATCCACCGCCTCTGCTGCTTCCAGGGCTATCCCCGGATTCCCCTCCACTGCCCCGCTTCTTCCACTCTCCACTTCACTCTCACGGTGAGGGTGTCGCCACTTCTTCTGCCTCCACCCAGTGGTTTTCCCCCACCTCTCCTTCTGCGGCTCCTTGCCCCGGCTCCTGTGACCCTCCTCTGGGTCCACCCCCGGCCTCCAGATATAGTCCGCGCCACTGATTAGCCCCAATCTTCTTCACCTGGCGTGGAGGTAAAACTGTGCTGGTGCAGACTGGGAGTTCCTGCCACAGGGTCAACGTGATTGCGTGGGGTGGTTTGTGTTCCTGGCTGGGGATACACCCCTGGTGAGTGCCCTCTGGGCTCTCACAGAGAGCACCACCATAGCTATCCACTTGATAGCTAGCCATTTAAATGCAACTGACTTAACACCTGTGAACCACTCACTGTGAACCACTCACAAAAACCAAGGTACTTTACCAACCCTCCCCCACAAACCAATCAGCTGTTCCTCCATAAAGTATAATTAGGGGGAAATCCTTTAAGAATGCTGAACATTTTCACTACTTGGTAGCCACCTTTCCCCAAAAGTAAACACAGACAGCAGTATTCAACACCTGAATTTCTGCCTTTGGACATCTCTGAAATTGTGTCTGATGATCATGGCATCAGGCCCCAAACCAAGCTTCTCATCTACTAAGCTGTTGCCATTCTTACCCTCTTATACGGGTGTGAAACATGGACTATGAGAAACACCTAAAAGCTTTGGAACCTCACCATCAATTATGTCTTCAGAACATCCTCCATATCAACTGGAACAACAGCAAAGCAAATGCTAAAGTTCTGGCTCAAGCAAATACCACAAGCATTGAAGCCATGTTTATACAGTACTAGCTGCATTGGACAAAGAATCCTAACAATCAGCTCCCAAACAGGTCATAGACTCCCAACTCACCGATGGTCACTGCTCTAGAGGTGGGCAGAAGGATACCTTGAAGGCCAATCTAAAAGAAATGTGATAGTAACATCAATACCTGGGAGACTCAAGCACTGAAATGTCCCCAGTGGCACTGAGATGTACAAGGCATCTGTCATTTGGAGCAAACTCATGTCACTGTAAAGGCAGAGGGACAAGAGAGATAAAGGGTTAGATCTGAGACCTGACATCACCAGGATCTACTTCTTCCACCTGATATGTCTGCAGTTGAACACTGAGATGGGCCTTCTAAGTCACCCACAGACTCACCAATGACTACCTTGTATTAGAAGCCTGTCATTCTCATATTGAAGGACTGCTGATGTATGTAGCTAGGGTTTTCATTTCCATGTTGTTTTCATCTTTATTTTGGTATTTTAATCTAGTAAGTTTTTTATAGTTTTTCACTGATGATTCTGATCTAGAGAACAGAGTCTCAAGAAAGTCTGCACTTTGATGACTCGGTGGACTAAATAGTTGCATCACCAGTGTTTTGTCAGCATTGGTTGTCAAGGGAGCTCTTAGTTGCATATCATTTACTGTCTCTGAGATATGGATCATTTAAACAAATACGTTGCTACTATGGGAAGCAGCTGCCTCTAACTTGCTTATGTTTATATGCATTAACAACCACAAAAATTAGAAAGTTCTTTAAAAGATCCTACTTGCATACACAAAGAGATGCTTAAGTGATAAGGATCTCATTTTTAGATACACTATAACATTTTTGTCACTTGTAAAACTAGACAGCATTCTTATTCATGTTTAGCTCTTGCTTTCAACTCAGGATAACAACTGTCTGGGTTCAATGAAGTTTTTCTAGTTAACAAGACAAATTATTTTTCCTATCCTTGTTTGAAACTAGGACGCCTTGTGAAGTTTATAAATTCATAACTATGCTGTGAAAGCTACAACATCTGGATTTAGCTAGAAGTAACTTGTTGATCAGTAAAATTATATTTCTAATAGTAATCCTAAATAGAAATTATTCTATGGACTAAGAGATGGATCCAGGGAAAGTTTTACATTTCTAACTGCCACCTAATTACCACTTCAGATACCTAAAATGCAAGGTTCAGAAACCCCAAAGAGCTGCCACTTATTCCTGAGAGCGCTGACCAGTTCAGCATCTGGCCTATACCTAAGCCCCAGCAGGATTCACCACTGTGAGCTTCCCTGACTACTTTGCCTGCAAGACACAGCATAGTAGGTTTTCTCAGAGCATTGGATCCTACACAAAATATTGCAGAAAGAGGAGGTGGCTCTTTTTATCTGAGAGCAATGGTTTGAGTAGTCATCTAGGATGTGTGAGAGACAGGTCAAATTTCTCCTCTGTTTTAAAGAATTTGAATGTAAATCTTTTTCCTCCCAGCCCAGGTGAATATCCTTACCACTAGGTAAAAGAGTATTTTGAAGTTGGGAATGGGAAATCTCTCAAGCACTGCTGTTGAAACAGTTCCTTCTTCACCAAGGCACTCCCATTTATTAAATGCCCCCGTTTGCTGCCTCTTTGCTAGTTTTCACTGGTCACTAGCTGTGGCAAGTTATCCCCAGAATGCTGCTGAAATGTAGCGTCATGACAGCCTAACCCTTTTATGGATCTAGCTTTACATTTTCATCCATGGAAGCAACATAGGCACAGGAAAACATGCATACCCACCACTGCCACCAAAATACTAGGTTCACTCACACATCTTAGGTAACTGCTTGAGCAAAAGAAGTTGTGTGTGTAGTTGTCTGTTGGATTCATACAGACTGCTGGTTCTGAGATTACAAGTAGAAGTTTCTGCATGTGAATTTTTCCAGGTACATGTACAGCTTTCTTAGAAAACTCGACTCCAAATGTCTATGGTACCCATTGATTGTTTGAAACTATTAAGCAATGCTGAAACCGATCTGCTCAGCAGCTGGTAGCCACCATACCTCATTACTTGGATGTCACAGTAAAACTAGCTCATGTATATTGTGTTGTTTAAGTCAAACATAATATTGCCAGGGTGTAGGTAAGGTACCGAGGAAATGGAAACCATCTGTTTTGAGGGATGGAAAAAGTTATGCTTCCAAATTCAATTAGTCCATCCATTTTATTAGGACAAGTCATTTTGTTTAACTACACATAATAGAGAGTAGAGCAGTTTTGTATCCAACACTGGATAGCAACTTACACTGGAGCACTACAAAGAGATCCTCTGCTATTCTTTGCTGATTGGGGAAGGTTCACTTTCCTTTTCTGCCCCCTTCCCGCTGTGCTGCACAAGTCAGAGGTTAGTTTTCACATCAGAATATTTTTTTCTGCTAAGTGCCAATTTAATTTTCTTTTTAATACATTTGTCATTTCAGCCTCCATTGCTGCCTTTGATAGCCCATTCTGCACAGTTTTCCACATAAATAAATGTCCATAATTTTGTCCCTTTCTTAGCTTCAGTCTGTGCTCTTTTGCTTTTGAACCTGTTATCCTTTGGAAATATTTTGTTATTTTTCACTCCTGGCAATTTAAGGCTTATCATCTCTTTCCTCCTTTAATCTTTTTTTTTTTTTGGCAAATATTAAACCTATTTTTTCTGGAAAATGCAAAAAACTGATTTTCCTCACAACTGTAACCTCTATGTGCGCCTACACTGGCCAACATGTGGCTTTCTCCATTTTTAACTGTTCCTCAGTATTGCTCCTGTTTAGCAGACATATAACAATACTTCAGGTGTAAATTCACCAGCCCTGAGTATAATGTTCTTCATTGATTGTTGCATTTGTTTTGTTATTTCTTAAATTCTGCCTCACCTCAAGCTAATGATTTTTAAGTGCTAATAACTGTTACCTTTACTTATACAGCAAATTTTTACTCTTTTCTTTTAAATCAATATATACTATTTGATAGTTGTCTCTAATGAATATTAGCTCAAGTCTCTTGTAGTATTTATCCAGGTCCTTTTGGACCATCTTTCTCTTCTTTGGCTCTGACAAACTATATCTATGAAACTCAGTCAGTTTCGCATCATCTGCAGCTATGCGCACTTTGATGTTCGTTCTTTCCTTCATTCCATTGATATATAATTGAAACAAGATTGGCCCAAACACCAGTCTGAGTTTCTTTTCTTGGCATTTTCCTCCCTCTGATTTATATCCATTTATTCCTACGTTTCAACTTTGGTTACTAAGACAATTTTTTATCCAGTTTAGATTTTCACCATCAATAGTCACTTGCTAATGTTATAAGCAGGACTTTTTGTATTTTCTTTGTTTTCTTTAATACAGAGCCATGTTGCAAACCCTCTTGAAGCCTGGGTAGCCTGTCTAAAGTTTCAACCTTGTAACTCTCAGAGTCACCCTTTCAAGGAAAATTAATCATATTTATTAAGCATAACTTCTCTGTTCTAAGGCCAGGCCATGACTGTTTTTGACATTTCTTACCTGTCCAAGTCATCTCTCATTTTGTTCCATGTCAGTGATTTTAGACTCTTTCCAATGCAAATGTCAGATTTAAGAAATGAGAGACTACAAACTTATCCCTTGATCCTGTTTTCAATATGTATATTCAGACAGCTTCTTTCTAGTCTCTCAAGACATTCAGAGGAGTCGAAAATGTCTCTAAAACAAGTGAATTCATACAGTGAATTTGCTTTGCACTGAGATTATTGTATATCTTCTTAAAGGGATATTTCAAGGACAAGAATCAGTTTCCTGCCCAGCCATGGATTAGAAAATATAAAGAAGCTAAGAGCAAGGTCTACATACAATTTAAAAAAGCTTCCTGCCTTGGAGAAGTTTGTTGCATTGATTGAGGCAAATCTCACCTATCCTAGCCATTGCTGTGCATTCGCAAATTGGAA